TCAGGCTGGGTTAACTCACCCAAAAGAGCTGGACTGAGCTGTCCTGTGAGAAAGCTCACGCAGCAAGGCAACACTGTTCTCATCATTGGGCACTTGCAGATCATTGTTCTCAGGAGCAGGCTGTACTTTTGCCATCATCATGTCAGGCTCTGAACTGCATTTCTGCAGAAGTTCATGCTTTGTATTCCTATGTTTGCAAAAATGACAAATTGAGAGTAAAAATTTATTCAAATTAATTGCTATTTATATATTTACAGGAGAAAAAAAAAAAAGTATGCCAGGGATCCAATGACCCTGTGAGAGATGTGGTGTGGATTTCAGTGGGGTGTGGATTGGGCCTCAAAAGCTGCTGATCTCAGTCCCCTGATACTATCATGAAAACTTTCCATCTACAGCAACAGATGCCACAGGGGGTTTATATTTGGATATTATTAATTCCTTCCTTAGGAGTGTTTATTAACAAATGCTTGCAAGCTGTAGGATGTGGTGTGGCGTAAACAGGAAGCACTCCAAGGTATTGCGTTGCCCATGTAATGCAACACATGTTCCAACAGCTTGGCTTTTTTTTCAAAATACTGCGACACCCATTCCTTCAAGAAATCTCTCCTGTCTGCATAGCTCATTTCTGCTACAGACATGCAAAGCTGCAGAAGAGCCAATTGTCTTAAAAATGAATGTTGATTTGCTAGATCGGGAACCGCCGTCTGCAACTTATATCCCACCTTGAAAGTTATGCAGTACAGACTGTTTGGGTGCTCTGATCAGTGGATTGAACAAAGCACAAGAGAAGAGGCTGCCACCTTTCCTGCAGCACAGTGCTGCAGATTGCCCTGCAGGTATTGCAGCACCTCTCAGCCCCAAACCTGGGGCAGTGCCTCTTCTGCCACTGTGCCAGCAGGCTGGGCTCTGACTCGTGCAGGGAAATAGCTGTTCATTTCCAGTCAGCTCTTGCTGTCTGCCAAGAGCAGCGATGGGAAAGCTAAGAGTGTCTGTTCATAAGTGGAAACTTTATAATCAGAATAATGGTGCTGAGGCCTCCAAGCTGTCTCATAAAGGCTTCATGCTCTTGTTGTGTGATGTACCAGTGTTGTCTGTGTTCTGAGTCTTGGTAGCTTTTATATCAGCATCTCAGAATCCCATTGGCACAGTTTCCTATGCCTTGTTCAGCCAGTGCTATGTGCAACAGGAGCAGACAGTGGGGAATTACACTTGTGCCACCACAAAATCACTGTGTGCGTGGTTGTTATAAGTGGTAAGAACATCACCTGAAATGAAGTTCTAGGGGCTCTGTTTTGAAGGTTTGGTGTCATTTCTCAGACTGGTTCTCAGTGAAGGTGCTTCTGTGTCTGCCCCAAGTGCAGATGCAACGGGGCTAACATCAGGACTGATGCTTTCTCATCTATCCTCACATCAGTCAACCTCTTCATCACGTGTACACCCTTGATTTCTTAACTATGAGCGAGAAAGAATGAAAATGAAATTGCTGCAATAAAACCACACAAAACCCCAATAATCCTGTGTCTACATGCTCTAACTTCTGCCTTTATTGGAGGCATGCCTTGCCCAGCATGAAGCTGAACTGAGGGTGAGTGGGGGAAACAGACGGCGTATTTAAGTATTTGTAAATCGTGAGCCTTGTGAGGTTTTATAATGATCTTACTGCCTGATTTGTACGTTCGTGTATTTGTCTAGCAACGGATGACATCAGAAACAGTGATCAGGAGGCTGATATTACACACTAAGTGTTCTGCAAAATCTCAATAGCCTTTTGGTGCGTGGAGCTTTGGCACATGCAAACTGTGATTGCAGCGACATCCTCGTAAGTCTGTGCAAACACTGACTGCATGTGTTTTGTCACTCCTGTAGGACAACTTTGGTTCAGTATTTGCATCATCCACAGCTTATTTACAGAATTTGAAGTCTTGAACAAAGTGAAGCTAGCTGATGAGGAGAAGCTGGTTTTCAAAAGGTACGAGCTCCAGGTAAGTGAGGACAAGTGAAGCACACAACAATATAGAAATCACTCGGTTTTACTGCAGCCAACTGAGACGGAGTGTGCTTTGGAGCTGGGAAATTTCCATTCCTGAAGTGCAGGACGGTGCCTGGATACTGCTGCAACTGCAGCTGAGAAATAAAAGCAACTTAATCTTACATAGCAGCAAAATGTCAGTACGTTAAAATTGATAGAGTTTTATAAGATTTTAAGGTTGCTGTAAAATTGATTCCTTCTAGAATATTTAGAAAATAACTGTAAATGACTTTTATAGAAATGAAGAGTGTTAAAAGGACTTGAAATTGCACCTAGGCTTTCAAGCTGTATCCTATTTGTGGACATCAGATCTGACAAGAACGTGACACTACATCCCCTACAACAGTGACAATGTGACAGTGGCAGAATGATATGCAGTGTGAGAGCAAGGTTGTTACGGACAGTGTAGTTCTGCAGCTAATAAATGTTCTTGCTCTCTGTGGCATGTTCAAAACAAATATAGCTATCTGTTTACCACTTTTAAGTCCATAATCTATAAACCACCATAAGCTTCCTGTAAAGTCAGTCAGAATGCTGAGCAGGGAAGAAACAAATACTGGGGGCAAAAAAAAGTGAGTTCGTTTTGGCATCAAACTGCCCTGCTCTTTGGGCAAGATACTGCTTTTAACTTCCTAACGGCATAAAATTACAGAGATTCTCATTTACATTGAGGTCACTTTACACTGCTGAAGCAGCGGATGACATTTAAATGAAAATCTGTCCCATGGGCTTTCAGCTATATGTCACTGGTTAAATCGGGCCCAGGTAGGTTCAGACTAGAAGTTATTAGCATCTGATGCTCTTTATGAATCTTAGGATGGTTCCCAGCGGATCAGAGCTCATATCTGAGCAATTTAAGTTTGTGTCACATTCATCACCATGGTTCCTGACTGCCTTAGAAGTTAAAATACATCTTTATAAAACGCCTTACATGTCTTAGTTCTTTTTCTTTTCCTCCTCGCAGAGGCTTGAAGTCTCTTTAAATAACGCTGGGAAAATTGCTTTCTGCACTGAATGTCTGTGTTTGGTTTGGATGGTGGGTGGGTCAGGGTCACCCCAAAGTACTGTGAACACAAACTATGTGCTTCTGCAGCAGATGCCACCAGAGCTGTGCCTCCAATGTCCCCACACAAATAATGAAACTAAAGTGGTGATGATTTCAGGAGAGGTAGTTTTAATTTTAGCAGAAAAAAATGAAATCTCCAATAATCAACATTGTAGGGCAGCTGTGTGCTGTTCTTTTTCTAAGCCTGATTATGCTGTTCCCAGGAGCACTGGGGCTCTCACAGTATGTCCAAACCGCGGCACGTTTAACCTCTCCTACGGTAAGGCTTACCGTTTCCTAATACAGCCTTCAAACACAAGGCCGTGCTTCCGTCTGGAAGAATCTTCTCATTGCTGGTTTTATTTCTACTGGATGCATGGAAACATTCTTTCCTCTCTGCTTTTCATTATCTGCTATCATTTCGTGATATCATTGTCCCTAACATAACCCAATATTTTGACCATCAAACTAATAATGTCCTTAAAACTCATTTACGTTCTTTCTAGAATTGATACTTCAATGTCACCTCGCTAAAGTAGAAGACACAGCAAGTGTGGGTAATGGCAGTGTATTTAAAGGGGCTGAAAAGCAATTGGTAACATTTGTATCGTCCTGCTGAATTCAATAACTGTACTGCTTCACTGAAAGGCTTACATGGCCTTCTGTCACAAGAGAGATTGTTGGCAAAGCACACCATAGCTTTCCGACCTCTCGTTTGGCTCTAACTGGATTAAACACATATGGGACTGCAGCATTCACAGGAGTTGAGGGATCTCCCACACTTCCTGGTCTGCCCGCTTGGTTTCCTTTTCTGTTCTGCCACACCTCAGCGCAGGCAGGAATGTCGTCCAGATGCGGCAGATTCGATTCAGTGTCGCTCCTGCAGGCTCTGTTTAAGCCGGTTTCCCTGCAATCATTGGTTCTGAGTTTGCCCAGAGCAGATTTACTGAAGTAACCAGAACTGTAACTATCGTTCATTTTCGGAGTGGAGAGCCATGGAAATCACGTTGGACTTAGTTTCAGGAAATTTCAGCAATTATTCCCATTGACTGCTGTCCAAATTTCCTGAGAGAAATGAAGCGGTGCTTCGAGGCAGAGCACGCGGGGAAGCACGATGTGCACTGCTCACGGCTGCTAAACGCAGGCAGGACGCGACGTCCTCCCGGCCAGCTCTGCGAGCAGCACCTGGAAACGGAACAGCCAGGCAGGGCCGGGAGAAACCTGCAGGGCGACGGCAGGGAGAGCCCGGGGGCGGCGGCCGAAGCCCGGAGGAGTCGCAGCCCCGCAGGGCCCGCGGGGCAACCGGTGCCGAACGGCCAAACTCACGAACCGAGGAATGGCTCCAGGAGGCGCGGAAGACAGAGGCGCGGAGCGGCTCTAAGGCCACACCGGCCTCGTACCGGGCCCGCAGCCCCTCCTCGGGCCGCCACCCGATCCCGATCCCGATCCCGATCCCGATCCCGATCCCGATCCCGCCCGGTGCGGGCTCCATTTCCTGCCCCGTCGTCACCTGACGCCTCTAATGGCGCCGCGCGGCCCGCGGTGCCGCCGCGCCCACCACGTGACACCCCGACCACGTGACCTGCGCGCCGCGCGCCGCGCGCCGCACCCCTTCCCCGGCGGCTGCGGTTGCCGCAGTCCTAAGCTCCGCCCCTCCCGGCGCGAGCTCCGCCCCCGCCCATCCGCCCCCCTCACGCCGCCACCCCCCCCTCCTCTCCCCTCCCCGGCCGCGGTTGATGCGCGCGCGCGGCGGTTCCGTCTTCTCAGAACGGCCGCGGCGGCGACGGCGCTGAGGGCCCGGCAGCCGGCGCCCGGGGCTGCGGAGTGTGGCGGGGTGGAGCCCGCCTTCTTCCTGCTCTCACCCTCTTCCCCGTCCCCCTCCTTCCTCCGCCCGCTCGGCCCTCCCCGCACGCAGTCGCCGCGGTTCCCGGCACGGACAACATGGCGGCGGTGGCGGGGGCCGCGGCCGCGGGCAGCTCTGGTGGCGCCGGAGGCCCGGAGATGGTGCGAGGCCAGGTGTTCGACGTGGGGCCGCGCTACACCAACCTGTCCTACATCGGCGAGGGCGCATACGGCATGGTGTGGTGAGTGCCGCCCTTCCCCGCCCGGCCGCGGGGAGCGGCCCGCGCGCGGCCTGAGGGGAAGGGAAGGGGAAGGGAAGGCCGGGCGGCTCCGGGGCGGCCCCCCCC